TGATATATCAATAATAAATAAGTTAAATAAAATTTATTGTTATATTTTAAAAGATATTTAGTTTTGATGGCAAACGAAAGACAGGAATCGCGTGAATGGATTTGATTTTGAATAGACTGTCATTTGCTTTGATTTACCGGTAATTATATTTTAAGTGATTTTAATTTCAAGCAAATATTTATAAAGTGTTTCGTTTGTATTATAAACATCTCATAATTATAAATACTTTTCTCATTACATATAACTCTATTTACTTACACATCATATTTAAATTGTCATTGAATTAAGTATTTTAAATCTTAATTAAGTCAGTTGTTTACAATTTGATCACAAAATAGGCTTAATGCAAACAAATGTAATACAAATATAAAGTATTTAATTAGAAAGGATGGGGGAGAGAGTGAATGGAGTGAATGAGATGAAAGGTATCAGTTTTTTAGACAATTCACTTTCACGTGTATTGAGTGACGTCTATTTGTCTGTTCATTAAATCTGATAATTGTTTCGTAAGTTTAGAGGGATTTTCAAACAAATTAGTGATTATTACCAAAGGATGCGCTCATTTGACATTCAAAGAGTAGACATTATTACAGAATTTAAATTAAAGTCTCTCTCATGTATTTGATGTATAAATAATATATTAGATATTCTGGAAATTTTTATCACTTTAAACATTTTGTACTTAATTTCAAATATTTGCATAAAATTGTATTAAATTTCTAGAAAACCTAAAGTTTCGCTTTTCAGTCATTTAATGAATTAAAGGAAAAGTTGTTTTGTATGAAATAAATATCAATTTTTGAATTAATCATTAACTGTTCACTGACTGACTGACTGTCGCGGTCTTTGAAAGTCAATACTCTGGTGACAAAAGAGACAAATCTGTGAAAACATTTGCAAATAAAATATATATAAGAGTAATGATGTCTTTCATAAGAAAATGCTGTACGAAAGCCAACAATATAATGATGGTAAAATAATTGTATTGTCTGTAGTACACTATACACATTATAATTGATCGCATAGTAACATAATATAATGCACTTAATTTTAAACAAATGACAGACAATTTCATTCATTCATTTATTGAAATCTACTTATTATTATTGTTATAATTTTATCTCAATAAATATGCAACTCATTTGAGACCAGAGAAATGTTTCGGCTTTTAAACAAACCCCTTGAATTTAATAAACCATTCAAATACTCATAATTTATAAATAAATTACTCGTTTAAAACATATTTAATGCTAGCATTACATTAAACAAAGTTTTAATATTTTAGTGCAATATTTGTTANTTTTAATTATAGAAAATAATTACAAACATTGCATAAAGTGTGAAACGAATGATATAATGATTAATTCGTGTATTAATCTCTAATATTCTGTATTTCTCTTTCAAACATCAAATATAATTTGTCAAAATATTTTTGTCGAGTTAGACATTATTTACAGGGAATTAATGGCACAAATGTTTCATAAATTAAAAATTACAAAACCGGCGACAGAATGAATGTTTTGGCATAAAATGTGAAAATAAAGTTTTTTCTATGAGATATAATCTGGTGTTTTGTTGTGTGTTTGCGATTAACAGATACGCGAGCGAAATATAAGTGGGGAATAAATGGATAGAGTATTCCTATGGTATATAAAATACATAATAATATTGAATGTATTTTGTATGCGATGGGAGGCAATGGTATTGAGAGAGAATCGCAAGCCTTAGCAACAACACAGTGTACTCGTGCTCTCACAACTCGATAGTCGGTCGAGTTTTTGAGAATTAAAAAACAAAATACTGACATCACTTTCATTGGACGACTGCCGCGGAGCCGAACATTTCAATTCAGTTTCATTTCAATTCATTAAATATAAGCCATCAGTAGGTCTGATGAACGCACGGAAGCCTTTCTCTCTGTGTTTATATCATAAATATTGATATTATATGGTTTTGAACGCACAGTATATTAGTTATGAAAATATTGTAAATCACTTCTGTGTTTACGTACCATAAAAAATATTACAGAATTTCCGATTTGTTTCAAACAATATTATGATTATTATTATTATATCATTGAATGAGTATCGAAAGTAACCTTAAAATCACTTCCAATATATGAGCAAATTTCCTGATACTGTACTCAATGTCCTGTTTGTTCGCCATTTGTGTAATTGATTCCTGTTTTATAGGCATTAACATTAGAGAATCTAATACATGGTTAAATTCAATATATGAACTAGAATAAGGACTTGGATGGGGTGTCATCGAAAATATTTCCTTATCCATTCGCTATTCCCTTTTGTAATTACAATAGCAACATGTTTTTGTCACTTTACTTATGATTACAAATATATGGCTTCTACTCCCACCCATTGTCGGGTATCTGTCCAGAGGTCAATCAAACTGAAGTCTTATACCATCCTCTCTGTTCATACACTACTCCCACACTATTAATAGGTAGTAAAATACTCTCTTATATTGATTATTATTATTATTATACTAAAAATATACCAAAACTAAACATTAATATAATTGTTAATTTATAAAAAAAATTATTTATAGAAATCTTATGAAAAATAAAATAATTATCACGACTTCATAGGAGTAATACTACTCCATATATGCCCTGATATTTGTTAATAACGTCAACACTTCATAAATTTTATTCAATTCACTCAATGTCCTGTTTGTTCGCCATTTGTGTAATTGATTCCTGTTTTATAGGCATTAACATTAGAGAATCTAATACATGGTTAAATTCAATATATGAACTAGAATAAGGACTTGGATGGGGTGTCATCTAAAATATTTCCTTATCCATTCGCTATTCCCTTTTGTAATTACAATAGCAACATGTTTTTGTCACTTTACTTATGATTGCAAATATATGGCTTCTTCTCCCACCCATTGTCGGGTATCTGTCCAGAGGTCAATCAAACTGAAGTCTTATACCATCCTTTCTGTTCATACACTACTCCCACGCTATTAATAGGTAGTAAAATACTCTCTGATATTGATTATTATTATACTAAAAATATACCAAAACTAAACATTAATATAATCGTTTATTTATAAAAAATTATTTATAGAAATCTTATGAAAAATAAAATAATTATCACGACTTCATAGGAGTAATACTACTCCATATATGCCCTGATATTTGTTAATAACGTCAACACTTCATAAATTTTATTCAATTCTTTAATCCCTTTTGATATAGAATTACATTTAATATTTTGTTTCAACTCATTCTCTGGATATTAATGATTGTGTTAATGATTTTTATTAATGTTTTGATAAAATCTATAAAATAAACCTTATATTAAGGAGTGAGCGAATGAGCGAAATATAAACTATCATGTGTTTTGAAATATTTGATATGGCATGAGAATTAAATAAACTTTTAAATTTAAAATAATATTAGTTATAAATTTGAAACTAAATAATTTGTTATTGTTATCGATAAAAATGCCTAGGTTCGTTGTAAACATAAATTGGTTTAATAAATATAAACATGTAAATTACAATATTCTTATAGAAAAATCTAAACAAAAAACAGGTCTAAATAATATAAGTAATAAAAATATGGTAACAATATTTGAAATCTGCAATATTTAGGTGAAAGTGATGTAATGACGCAATCCGTCGGTTATATAGACATGAGTAGAGTGTCTAAAATTGTAAACCAAATTCTGTGCACTTATTCTCAGACAAAACCCGATTCTTTATCACTAATTGGCGTTTTATATCATGTATTAACGTATTATTGTGTGTCAACTTGTTTTTCATTTATATCCTTATTATAATCACATGTTCTGCTATTTAATCAACAAAAATAAAGACATTTTCAGACAACTATTTGATACAAAATTTTAAAAAAATTGCTAATAAACAGAAACAAGGTTCACAGCGATGCTATACGTTAACCACAATTGCTCAAAGAATTGATTAGCATTGTCCATAGTTTTAATATAAGTCCTATAGACTTGTCATAAACTTAGCACTAATTTCATAGAGTTAACATGCATTAGTCTCATATGATCAATATTATCCATAGCATTAGCATTAGTCCCATAGACTTAACATTGTCCATAAGATTAACATTAGTTCCATAGATTTAACAGTATCCATAGGATTAGCATTAGTCCCATAGACTTATTATTATCCATAGACTCAGCATTACCTATGTTATCCCTGTGCCATAGACTTAGCATTACCGGTCGGGATGAGGGGAGGGGTAGCCGAACAATCCTATAAACTACATTATTCATACTGAATTGTGGTTAAAAATTAAAACACATAAACATCGGAATCATATGAATGGCTACAAAATTTAGAGTACATATCCTGTCAACAGTCTATGATTGAGAGCCAATATTTCAAATATCAGAATTTGATATCAGATTTAAAATTGAAAATATTTTCCCAATAAAAGTAAACGAATTAAATTACAAACTATTAAATAGTAAAATAAAATATCAAGGTATCAATTTATTTTCACACGATTTGCATCCAAAACTGATCCCGAGTCGGCCTGTGATCCGATCAATTGGCTAATGACTTACTAATGATATTATGATTAAATAATTTGTTTTTATCGCAAATCTGTTTATCACAGGAAAAGTTTATCCAAAAAAACCCAAAATTGCAAAATATTTCAGACTTTAGTGTTTGTATACTCGAAGTGTTGTATTCAAAGACATGGAGTGGTGTTTCATCAGAAATCAATAGGAATTGTTTGCGCATATTCTGTGATTCATCTATTTTTTGAATGTATGCTGTTTTGTGTGAATGTATTCTTACTGCCAATAGTATAGCATTTTGGAGGCTCTCATAGAGTAAAGTTAGTTTCAAATTCATCGTTATGTTTGTCTTATATATTCTCGATTCACAGACTCTTTGGCGAGCAGTAGTGAACGATCACTGATTGTCATACTGTCTAAGTTTTAGGCATATTTTATATACATTTTTACATTGTTTTATTCAATCAAATGATCGCCAAACGAATCGTATACTGTATTATTAGATATGTATTGAAGTAATATTGAGTGAAATGCAATGTATTTCATTGTAATCATCAAATAATGTGAACGAACTGTTGCTTTGCTTATTATTATTGTTTTGCGCACCAAATGATGGTAAATCTCTGCATACAATCAGCTGTTCATCAGATCATCCATTCTTTGCCAGTATTTGTTGGATTCTGAAGACACAGACAGACATTCTGTGGTTTCCTTTTGGTACACGTCTTGCCATTTATTTCTTGTATTTGTTTTGATTCTTAACACAAGAATCACAACTAAGTCCGTGAGTAAAGTGTAAGACATTTTCAATAATATGCTAAACATGTCTACAATTTAATTGACATTTGTTTGACATTTTCAGAGTTACAGAATTTGGGCATAAATTGGACATTAAAACAAGAATTGCCACAAAAACTATACAAACCTTAACTAATATTCACATGAAATCCACGCATACTTTGATTGGAAGAGAATTGAATTAAAGTTTCAAATTCTGTTTAAATATTAATTGTATTAATAAACAAATTGGTGGAAAATGCCGCCCCATATCACACCCAGCAATAGTAAGTATACAAACCATTTCCAGTTTGGTTCACAATTAATATTTCAGACATCGATTTATTTTTTAATAATTAATCCGATATAAGGCTATACAGTGTGTGTATACTGTAGTATATGTGTGTGTATTGTCTGCGAGAACCGCTCTCAACCAGTTCTTCAATACTGGCATTCAATTCTCTATATAACGCTCTCATATGTAATATATAACACGTCTTGCCATTTATTTCTTGTATTTGTTTTGATTCTTAACACAAGAATCACAACTAAGTCCGTGAGTAAAGTGTAAGACATTTTCAATAATATGCTAAACATGTCTACAATTTAATTGACATTTATTTGACATTTTCAGAGTTACAGAATTTGGGCATAAATTGGACATTAAAACAAGAATTGCCACAAAAAAACATACAAACCTTAACTAATATTCACATGAAATCCACGCATATTTTGATTGGAAGAGAAGTGAATTGAATTAAAGTTTCAAATTCTGTTTAAGTATTAATTGTATTAATAAACAAATTGGTGGAAAATGCCGCCCCATATCACACCCAGCAATAGTAAGTATACAAACCATTTCCAGTTTGGCTCACAATTAATATTTTAGACATCGATTTATTTTTTAATAATTAATCCATATATTCCGATATGTCACACACATATGACATCATATACACACACATAACAGACGCTCTTGGCGAGAGTTGGTCAAGAAGTTATGACCGTAAGTTAAGAGATATATTGCGAGAGTATACATTATATATAATGTACAAACTGAGGTCTCGATTACGTTTCCGTGTTCTTAAGACACGTGTTCTGAATAACGAATGGGTTAGGAAAACTATGTGTGTAGTATTAATTCAATTACATTATAATAAATATATAAAGTTATGGAAATTAAGACAATCTGTCATATCTATAGCAGTGTTGGATAATATCATTTTTCAATACTTTTGGCAATAAATTCAATATATTTAATCAGTTAATGAATATATTTAACATAATCTGTGTATACTCTGAACGAATATATACTGTATTGAAAATATTTGATTTCAAATTCTTGACATTTTAGGCGCATATAATAATAATATGTTATTTCTAAACAGAATTTCTAAATCATAATTTCATTGACATTTATAATTAGATATTAATAATTCAAAGTTAATGATATTTTTGATCATTTTTAATACACAAATTTAAATATTTATTTTTGAAAATTATTATTCAATGTATTGATTCAATATAACAAAAACTTTTTGAATGACATGACTATCGAAAATATTGTGAACAGAATGTCTTAAAGACATCATGAAAGTGACGGACAGATATGGTTTTTGCCGAAGACATTGTTAGGTCATCCGTTCCCGACGCCCACCACATCGGCTGTCAGTTCACCACAAACTCGAATAGTGAGCGGTAGTCCCCGAGAGACACAACATTTGCAAACAAGTGAATCAAGTGATACTGACTTCTGGAGACCCGTTAATGTAGGCGAAGGAAAAACATGGTTTTTTCCGGAGACATTGTTAGGCCAACCTTTTCCTACACCCGCACCAACTTTTGATGGACAACAGACTCCAGTCAGACAAAGGGCAGAGAGTGTAGCGTCTGATCCTAACTTTTGGACAGAACATCGCGGAAATGATGGAAAGACATGGTTTTTGCCGCAGACTCTATTGGGCCAACCATTTCCAAGACCAGCGCCGACTTTAGGTGAACAACAAACGCGAGTTAAAGAGAGAGAAGACAATCTGGAGATTGATAGAGACTTTTGGACAGAACAGCGGGAAAGTAACGGAAAGATATGGTTTTTGCCGAAGACATTGTTTGGTCTACCGTTCCCGACGCCCACCACATCGGCTGTCAGTTCACCACAAACTCGAGTCAAACACCGGATAATAAGCGATGGCTCACAAGAGACAAGAAAACAATTTAAAACGAGTGAATCAACTGATACTCAAAACCTTGGAATTGATGAACACTTTTGGACAGAACAGCGTTTAGGAGATGGAAAGACATGGTTTTTGCCAAACAAGGCTCACAAGAGACAAGAAAACAATTTAAAACGAGTGAATCAACTGATACTCAAAACCTTGGAATTGATGAACACTTTTGCTGTCTTGTCGCAAATCCTCTACCTTTCTGTACCAAAAACGGTTTGTGTGACAATCCGGTTGGGAAGGGCTGGCGACTGTGTGTCGTCTGTTGGGTTATAGCCTGTGGACTCTCTTTCCTGCCGTCACTTATGATGGATGAGACGGGATATATGTCTGGACCCGATATCACACAAAGTCCAACCGTATCGGGTCAAAGAGTTACAGATATTCCGAAACCAACTGTACAATTGTCACCTCAAGAAAGACAATCAGTCGACGGAGACTTTTGGACGAGCGTTAAGGTTGGAGAAGGAAAGACATGGTTTTTACCGAACACACTGTTAGGTCAACCCTTTCCCACTCACGAGGAAACCCAACCCCAATACCAGACACCGAAGAGACAGGTCGACAGTACTAGAAGTTATTCAGAAAAGTCGACACAAACCATCTTAGGGATGGATGAGACAGGATATATGTCCGGATCTGATAACACACAAAGTCCAACCGTATTGGATCAAAGAGTTGCAGATATATCAGGACCTACTGTGCAATTGTCACCTCAAACAACACAATCAGTCGACGAAGACTTTTGGACAAGTGTTGAGGCTGGAGAAGGAAAGACATGGTTTTTGCCGCAGACACTGTTAGGCCAACCCTTTCCCGAGCCGTCAGAAACNGTCGACGAAGACTTTTGGACAAGTGTTGAGGCTGGAGAAGGAAAGACATGGTTTTTGCCGCAGACACTGTTAGGCCAACCCTTTCCCGAGCCGTCAGAAACTTTTGGCGGACAACAAACGACAGACAATCTAAAAATTGACAGAGAAGTGTTGGCCCAACCCTTGCCGACGCCCACAACAACTGGCAGTCGACATATCGGCGAAACCTGGAGATTAACCAATCGTTTCGGCCCTATGTCTGCCTAAAACACTATTTGCCTAAATATTTGTTGTTAAATAAATTCACAATAAATTCAAATCTTTGTTTTAAATTTAGATTTTTAATTTTGGAAGTCTCTCTCTCTCTCTCTCTCTCTCTCTCTCTCAAAGAAGTTTAATAATGATAAATGTAATAGTCATGTAATGTTAGATTAAATAAAGTATATACCCTTAATAACCATCCGAGTTATGAACTAAATTAATATCACTAATAAATACTTCCTGTTTAACACATCAATACATTAATCATATAATTCCAATCAAATATAAATTAAATATTATTAATAAAAGTCTATTGACAGATATTTTACAAATAAATATTAACTACATGTCATTAGACGCCACTAATAGCCCTAATATATTTTTAAACACATACACCTATAACTGTAATACGTTTAACAAAGTACAATGTAAACTAGTACCGGTCGTGTCTATGAATTAATCAATACAAAACATACTTGTAAAATGTAAACGATGTCATTTCACTCAATATTCAAACATATTTATATAAAACAATCACTTTTGGTTCAAATTATTACTGAAAAGTGAGAACAAGTTATTGTTATTTGTATCGCAAGTATCGCAACAATAAGTCTGAAATATACAGAGATAT